GACAAACAATAACTCTGTGTTTCAGCTTTATTGGAAACCCTTCTGTTGTGGGAGCCTGGCTGCATGTGTCCCTGTGCTCAGGCGACGCAGAGGTGCGAGTGGGAGCCTCTGAATTCACTGGTGATTGCAGGAGCACGTGCCTTGGCGCTGGCCTACGGAACCTACACAGAAGTGCACAGGCAGCTGCATGTTGCTGTGAGCCCATGAAAGACAGACACAGACCTGCAGAGCCAGTTGGTCTCCTCTAGATCAGCCAGGGAGTCCGAAGCTCTAACAGGGCCCCTCTGTGAATAATTGCGTTCAGCTCCGTGTAAACGGTGTTGCCAGCTCATAGGAAGGTGTGATGATATATGACATAACTGTGAAAATGTCAAAACACCACTACCCTGAACCACGTTCTTACAAGAAATCTTGGCTTCCACTTGAAATTTAAGATCCTGCTGCTTGCAAGAAAGGCTTGAAAGCTAGAACAACTGAAAAAACACAAATGAGAATGCAAAGAAAATTTGAAAAATTCTAATTCAGGGAGACTGTTTTGGTCAGCTCAGTATTGATTGCGGGGGACGCTGCAGGTGCACAAACTCTTAGTGAGCTGCAAATATCCCTTCATTCAAGAAAACAAGCCCTGCTGCAGACTCCTCACATATTGAAAACCTAAGAGGAAAGTCCCACAAAACCACAAGGCTTACTTGTGAAACTGTTTAGAAATACACTAGGGTTATTTCATTTGTCTTCTGGTTTTAAGCAATTGAGTCACATTCTCACATCACTTCTGGCTAGGCAGGAGGGTTAGTTTATTGTATTTTATTTATTCCTTCCTTTTTATTTTTTTCAGTAAAGACACAGAACTAAAATTCTCATGTACTTACAAAACTTCAGGTACAACTCCACAAAACTAGGGCAATAGAAAACATGCCAAATATTTCAAGGCTTGGCAACAGGGAGCCTGCCTGTCTCTCTGTGGCAGGAGGAATGTCTGTCTGCCTCAGCCAATGTTTCTGAGTAGGAATGTCTCATCCTGATAGCCCATGTACATATAAAACACCTTTGCTGTCAGCTCTCCAGGAAGAGACCTTGACATTTTGCAGAATACCACATCCCAACCCCCATCTCCCCTGAATAGCAGCAGAAGGCAGAAAAAAAATGGTAGATCTGAAAATGTAAGAATCAGGTGCTGCCTTCAGCAAGGATTAAAGTTAAAATGGAAAGGTAATGGTGAAATAAGCACAGCCAAGTCACTGGAATTAATGCACCAAGGAACCTCCAGGGAACTTCCAGGTTTCCCAAACCCATGGCCACGGCTGGCCTGTCCCAGTCCCTATTCTGTGGGCCAAGAGAAAAATTTGAAGGGGAGGAAACCTTTGCTGTCTTAAACAGAATAAATGAAAGGTGAACGGTTTCAGGAAATATTGTATTATCGCTGTGGTATTATGTGCTTTATGTACCTGGTGAGAGAAACTGCAAGCCTCATTCTGAGCTCTCACCTCACAGTAGCTGGGCTGGCACAGGCAGGTGAGCTCTGCTCTCTGCGGACGCAGGAATGGGATTGCAATGCTCTCTTCCTGAAAAGAGTAATGAGGTGCCCAGAGAGCCTGCCGAGGTGTCAGAGAAACTGATGCTGATGGACCCTTTGCAGGCCAAAGATAGATTAAGAATAACACAATACCAGCATAACAGCACCTTATCAACAGCCCTGCGAGTGCTAAGAAGTGAATCTGAGCGAAGGCTGTGACACCTGTCTGCATCACAGCCCTGCTATTACTGCCTCCCGACTTCCTGCACAATCCAAGTGTCCAAATGGCTTTGAAGCAAGAAACAGCAAGACAGGAAGGTGAATCTGAACTCTGATCAGCTGTCTGAAGAGATGGTATGAATAACTTACATTTCAGTAACACTTTTCATCCATAACGAAGCCCAGACATCCATTCAACCTCCACACTCCAAATCACAGAAGTAATATCTGCCCAGGTAGAGATGGACAAATAAACACAAGTTAAACGACTGTTCAAGGTCATCCAAGGACTACGAGAGACACACGTCTAGCAAGCAGATTACTCTTCCCTTTTGAAAGGCACACAGACACACACGCAGGGGATTGAAACTGCTTAGCCAGGTGTGGAGCCTGCTGTGATCAACACAGCTTCACTGAGCAGCAACTTTTCTCATTGCTGCTTCACCGGTGCTAAAATGTAAAATGCAAACCTTCATAACAGAATTCTTTCAAACAGATGCAAATAGGTGTGGGGATTTTGCATCTGGGCTAAGTTGCTGCAATCTACACATCTTATTTGTTTGCTAGTTATTAAATTACCCACAAGCCATCAACAATTCAAGTCTCTCTCCGAGAGGCAGAGATTAACTAGGAATTGCTATGCAGAAATGCTACTCATTCTCTCTCTCTCTAGCGAGATCAGCCTCATGATGAGTTGCGGACATTTGGGAACAAAGGTGAGCTTTTCTGCAAGAAATGAGAGGCACAGAAAGATGGGAAAATGATGCTATAGGGAGAAGAGGATTTATTTGCAAGGCAAGAATCTATCAGGAATGGTTTCACACATGCACTGCAAGCCACAGACTGTGACCAAGCACACTCGTGTATCTGGAGCACAGGAAGCTGCACTTACGTCCAAGCACTAATGCAAATGACATTTTCTGTGAAAGACCACGAGGCCAGTATGTAAATACTAATCTAACAGTCTAGTTGACAAAGCCTCAGCTGATCTATAAATAGCTGGTTTATTAGCAGGTGATGCTGAAGGCAGCTATCCCGGCTCCAATTCCCACAATTCCCTGTGCCATCTTGTTTTTACTGACCCCAGAGAAACAAGGACTCTTAACTGTATGCAGCTCACTCCTCCACCACTACCTGCAGAGTAGCTACAAACACTTGACAACACAATACATATTTATCAATGCCCTTACACAACAAGGATCCTGCAGCACCATGCACACAATAGCTCCCTGTGCTCAATTAAAGACAGCAAATGGTTTAGAAAAATGGAAGAACCATGCAGCCTTGCTTTTAAGCAGGAGGAGCTGGTCACTCAGGTGCCAATAGGCATTTAGGGAATGATTGACACAGAGCCTGTCCATCCACATTTACACTGTGCACTGGCAAACTGAAAATCTAGGATAGCAACACCTTTAGTAGCTCTAGGCCACCAAAGAAGCATTTTACCACCTCAAAACAAGATGTCAAAATCCTGATCTTTTTATACAGTTTCATTTCATCAATTATTATTTTATAGTACATAATAAAATTTAAAAGTTTTTACCACTTCCTCAAGCTGCACATGCAGGAATCCCTTCTTTCACACAGGCACAAGACAGCTATTTAACAGCAGACAGCAACATTAGCAGAGTCTAGGGCCAGCAGGCAAGAATACTGCATCCTGGTAAAAATTGCTGTGGCATTTGGAGCAACACACCAGAACTGCCCTAACTGCAGCATGGTCGGCAGCCATGGAAACCACACGAATTATGATGTTTTAGGCTATTCACATGGATTTGTAGATATTCTCCAGAAGTGCTCTAAGGCTTCAGTCTTTCTCTTGCTGCAAAGAACAGTGACAACATATTGACGAGTTGGGCTTGTAAATAGGGAGATTGAATTAGAGGAACAGAATAGACTTTGTTACCCCTTCCTCCCACTTGCTTCAAATTTCTAAAGAAACCTTCCAAGCACAAGAAGTTGCTGTGTCTCTCACAGCCATATGATAAGCAGAAATAAAAAATTAAAAACCACACAATCAACACTTATTTTTCCATAAGGTCCATCATATTCTTACAGCTTGTACAGTGCAGGCTCCAGAGTTTATCCTGACAGGGAACTTAGTGTGCCAGGCCCTGCACCAGCCCTGGCAAGGGCAGAGGCTGCTCGTGACTGGGAGGCTCACGCTGCAGCCGGAGCGTGCACGGAGGCGTGCCAGAGCAAAGAGCCCCAGAACGTTCCCTGCCCCGCTGCTGCACCCTCACTTCCCTACACTGCCCACTCATGAGGTGACAAGAGTTTCCAGAACACCCATTTGGTCTCCAACAGCTCAGCAGATCCGTTCCAAACCATCACAGTGATCTGTGTAGTACGGTTCCTATGGAGAGGGCTTTGGATAAAGGACTGCTCCTTCATTTGTTGTAACAACAAACCTTTACAATTTGCTTTTTTTAAAGTTTTATTAAGCACAAGGGTTAAATTGACTTCATATGACTGCAAATGTATGATGGTCTTACGGTTTTTTTTTAAAGACCACCAAGGACTCTGAAAAAGAAAATTTTCTAATGAAGTTCACTTACTAAATTGCGTTTTGTGGGTGAACATACTCCTCTTTTCTAGCATTTATAGAAATGAGATAGAGGAGCTTGACTTAGCTGAATAGAAAGTTTAAATAAAGGTGCTCTCAGAAATTCCGTAGAACTTAGCAAGAGAAGCGATATATCACAAATAAAGAAATCAGCAGTTTTCATTATTAAATTAGGGAAAAAAATCAGTATAATAATAGATCTGCAATGATCTTGAATAGATTATTTCATAAAACTGTCATAAATCTAATGGCAACAGATACAAGCACCTAAGAAGAACTGAAACATTTTACATAGTTCAGTAAAAGTAAGATGCTGCAACAAGGTGTCAAAACAGCCTTCCCAGGAGAAATCCACACAGTTGCTGTTTCCTTTGCCTTTGACGAAACCTGCAGTGCCAAACAACTCAAAAGAAGCTTGAAGCTTGTTCTGTCCCCCAAATCTCTGCATTTCCTGTAGCTCTGGCAAAGCTCCTGCTTCCTTTGGCTGTTGTCTCCTTTCTGATCAGCATATCCATCACCCAGATCCTTGATTCCACACCCCAGCCAGTTGTATTCCAGGAGCAGTTAGCAGCCAGCACCCAAAGAAAACTTTAACTAAGTTTGGCTCTGTCTGAAGCAAATTTTGAGCAACGGGAGCACAGATGAAATCCAGCCTATCCAGCGTAACTCATTCTTCACACTTGTTTAAGCATGGTCACTCACCGAGGACAGACTGGCAGCCTTCTCTGTGGGCTGTGGATTCCACTGCACTGCCAGGAGCTGTGCTGAGACAAGTCCACATCACACGTCAGTGAAGATGGACTGCACCCTTCAGCTCTGGGATGGAAAAATCAAACTGCTAGATAGGTTCTCTTCCCTGCCGGATACACTGATTTTTAGCAATGGAAAAGCCAATTAAAGTTTATAAAGACACATTCTCTGCTGATTTTTCCTTACTGCCCACTGCTCAGTGCTGGTATAATGGATAATGTTCTGCCTGTGGGTGTATTTTCTAAGATCTGTCAGTTCTGACAGCATTTTGGCACCTGGATAACTCAAGATCTATACTGAGGGTCCAGGAATGCACTATTTCTCAGTAGCTGATGGGTACATTTTTCAGCAAGGCTTCCCTAATTAAAGGGCTGGAAAGAGATGGGATCAGATTGATAGGCTTTGCAGTCAGATGTTTTATGCTTAGTTTGATGAATTATAAATCACCTTTTGCAACTTTCAGAACATGTGAGAAGAACACATAAGAGAAACTACAAAAATATGTCCAGAATATCACAATATAATTACTTATTTTCAAATTTTACCTTTGTCCCTATGGCAAGGCCATTAAAGACATACTCAAGAGAAGCAATGCTCAATGAAAATAAGTATCAATACCAATACCAAAAAGAAAAGTGAAGCTATGAAATGAGACACTGCTGGTCTGGGGATATTCCCACATGGAAGTGTTTTGCCCCAGGTAGGACAGAAGATGCATTCCTCCCCCTTTGAGCATCACCCTGGGCTGGGAACACTGCCCTGGAACTGAGTGCTCAGCTCAATCAGCCATGTCCTCTGCCAGACCAGCAGGAAGCTTTCCCTTGTCCTCAGCCATCACAGCCTTGTGTCAGGGCTAGAGAAACCACTGTCAAATGAAATGCTTTGACTTTACTCTCTGTAAAACTGCAGGAAGACAATGTATTCAGTGCTGGCTTCATTGTCTCTGTCAAAGCCCCTTCCCTACATACAGCGAAATGCAGCTCCAGAGAGGCCACTGGCAAGACCTTTCAGAATAATCAGTTTGTTCTGGTTTTAATGGGATCTTTTAGTATTGAAGTTATTTTTTTGCAGGGTGCATGTGTGTGTGTGGAGAACAACAACAAAAAAGCCCAAACCCCAAAACAGGATGTGAGAGCTCAGTATCCCAATGTGGAAGTTCAAAAGTGCCTTGCTGTCAGTGGTGTTCAGAACAGGGCAGACTTTAAAGCTATAGAGAAGAAAGTCACAGACTAACCATTTGGAATAGGGAAAAAACTGTTGGCAATTTATACCATGAAACCAAAGAAATACAATGCAAAGCTATCAGGATTTGAAAAGCACTTCCAGGCACTGAGAGGTTAAAACAATTATTTGAACAGCTGGGAAAATTAAAATGGTAAAATAATAGCTACCCTTCAAAATTCTACAGATGCAAAGAGACTCTTCAATGAATAACTGATAAAGGGGAAAACACATTTCAAAAGAGAAACTGTTTCACGCATGAAGGTCATACAAGTAACAGCTCCTCTTAAGAACCCGGATTTCCAGACTTGGCAAGAGATGAAGAGCTGGGGTTAACACATCAGCCTTTTACCTTGTGGGACCTAGGGTAAAATCCTGAATACTTTAAGTTACACATGAAAGTGACTTTGGGCGTATTCTTTCTACTGTTTCTGTGGAAAATGTTCCCCACTGTAGCAAAAGCAAGGTCAGAGGAGCATGCCGGAATTATTGTAGCAGTTTGTTTCCTTTCTCAAGGAAATATTCCAGCCCCAATGACTCCAGCAAATGGTGCAATCAGAGCAGTCAGTTCAGGCTGTTTAACTGCTGTTATCTAGGGCTCCCCCATATATATAACCTTGCTCTGGCAAGAATGTGGTGATATGTGATTTTTCAGGAAAAAAAGACAGTCTGTAATAAGTAGCGTTACTATTCAAGGAAGGTCTAACTGGAAGAATAATGCCAGTCAGGATTGCAGTGTGTCAGCCATGGTATACACAATGCTGCTCATCACTGGGTACACAGAGAGACACATCCAGGGGACACACAACTGCAGCAGAGCCATCCCCAGGGCAGGGAGGAGCTGAACAAATACAGCCAGGGAAGGATTATCTGCCGTTTGGCTCTAGCTATCCCTGTAGGCAATCAATCCTCTCTCTCTGGTAGCTATTTTAAAAAAAGAAACCAAAATCTTCAGCAAGTAGAGAAAAATTGACAACTGAATATGCAGCACTGTAGAGAAGGAATCAGCTGTACAGTGCCAGCTCATTTCTGTTCCTCACCCACTGCAAATGCACAACCTCTTCCACATAAACACCGTCCAAACTGTTAACAGGACAGCAATTGAACACACCTCAGCAGAGTCCAAAAACATGGATCCTTTGGCAAAAAAAGGCAGAATCAGAACAGAAGACCAAATCCATCCACCTCAGCAGTGAACTCTTCTATCATTCACACATTTAATTTCACCAGTCTGCAACTGGAAAGTCTTAGCTCTTTTTCTTTCTATCTTCTCTTTCTAAAGAAAGAAATTAGACAGCATAAACACTGAGATCCTCCTGCAGCAGACTTTTTCTCCAATCAAAAACATTTGTTTTTCCAGGACAACTCTCTTCAGAGTAGAGCCTACTTCAGTCTACCCTGAGCACTGTCAACATAATTCAGTTGATAATCATCTGGTATTGAGTCCTGATGCTGTCAGGTATCTCCTCTGATGGGTCAGGCTGCTCACTAGGCAAGGACACTAAAAGAAAACATGAAGAGGATGAGCCTGCAGCCTACCCCATACAACTTGCTCAAATCACCTTGGAACCCTCAGCTACCTACACCAGGTTTGACCACTTTCAGGATCAGAAGTGTCCAACATGTTCCAGAAGGGAGTAGTTGTGCCTATGCCAAACCAAAGTAGCCTGTGCCACAGAAAGTAACACAGCTGACAGAAGGTTTTCAATAAAGGTCTTGATCTTCCTAAGGTCCTGAAGGACCCTGTGACACATTTTTACAAGAGTCAGAGCCCTGGTATTCTGCCAAGCTACATACATTTTGTCTAAACCGAAATTATGATTACAGCTTTAATTCAATATGCTCTCCTTCACTTCTGATCCTAATCTGCTGGCAGGAGCTGTTGGACCAGTAAGCACCTGCCTTTTTTTTGCCCTTTAGGTGACTTCATCACTGTGCTGCCTGAACAGATGCCAGCAGCTAGAACTGCAGAGCAAAATCATGTAGGAAATTCACCAGCTGGGTACAAAGTCTGCCTTAGCAGAGCTCCTACTCCTACTGGGAAACCTGCAGATCCATCTCTGGTACCTTGTCATGGCACTGGCTGTGGTAAGAACATAGAACTGGAATATCTCAGCTTGTCCCCTCACTGTACCAGCATGACAACCAGCCATCAGCCTTTTACTTGCCCAAGGTCAAACTGCATCCTGTAAAGCTGGTGTATAGCTGGGTAATGTACTCTGGGTCCTTTGGGGTTCAAAAGAGGGCATAAACCTGACAGAATGAAAAGAACTTGAAGCAGAAAAAGAAGGTGTCAGGCTTGCAAAGCACCCACCTCTTTCTACCCTTCCATGGGATCTCTGATTCTTACCCATCTTTCCTGCAGTCAAAGTCCCCTGTGCCAAGCAGCTTTCATGTTCAGTGAGGAGTGCAGGAGGAGCAGGGAGATGCAGAGGATTACACTATGTCCTTATGAGCTTCCAGCACTCAGAACCTGAAGATTTCTTTTGCTCCTCTGATCAGCCATGTTCAGATGCATATTTAAAAATAAGACAGACACTGAACTCTGTCTTGCCCCTTGAGGGAATTGCAGCCTCCTCCTTCCAAACGCCAGTTCAGTGCTGCAGGGAACAGGCAGCCTGGTGTCAGCTCCGATACAGGCTTTGAAATGAAAGGAATGCAAACGAAGGGGACAGAAGAGAGGAGAGGAGGGAGGGAGAAGGTGCAGAGACACTGGAAGGAAGCAGGTGAAAAAATGAAGACAGAGGGGAAAGGAAAAATCTCAGCCCAGAGTAGAAATGGGTGAGAAAAAGAGATGGAAGGAGGAGGAGGAAGAGGAGGTAGCAAACCCAGGCAATAGCATATCTCTAGCTCACTTGTTCAGACTACAAGAAAAAACCTACACATGGCCGAGAAGCATTCATGAGGAGATTGGTGAGCCACACATAAAATACATGTAAAATACCCACAGTATGAGTTTTAATCACAGAACATCACAGAAGAGTTTTAGAACAATTTACCTTGCTTCTAGCTCAAACATTTGCTTTGAACTCTTCTGACCTCATGGGGACCAACCCCAGTGCTAGAGTGGCATTGCAACCATCTGGAATTCAGCACACCAGAAAAAAATCAACCAAATAAAAAAATACAATGGAGAAAATAACTTGGCAGTGCTATACAGCACTTGATTCTGGTGCCAATGAGATAAAATGGGGATTCCTGAACCTTCCACATCCTGCCCAAGAGGGTTGGCAATTACTAGTATTTTTAAGCTTAAGAGAAGGATTCCAAGCAGCAACCTCAGGGAAATAGGTTTAAAAAACATAAAAAGATATAGTCAGTAAATTGGAAAAAAAAAAAAAATCAAACAGATAATCAAGTGCATACCTAGATGTAAACTTGCAAATAAGAAATGCCAAGTTGGGAATCAGGAGGGCAAGTTCCTACAGCTCTACAACGTGCACTTCCAGAAACTCATTGGAACTTCAGTGTACTTGAGAAATCCGTGCCAAGATCAAGAAACACTTCCAACTGTTGATTCTGAAGCAATTATCTGGAAGAACACAAGCTTGCCTGAGGCAAAACACACAGTATGGTGTGAACTTACATCCTGCTGTCAGGATGGACCAGGTACCATGGTGCACACAAATCAAAATTGATGAAGCCAAAGAAAGCACCAACAGAGAGAAAAAAGCAAGAACCAAGAATCACAAGGAAGAGCAGGCAGGACCCAGATGAACAGTTACAGCCTAGAGGCTTGTGGAGCAGTTCAGAGCCACTGAAGAAATTCTCTTGCATATCTGGCTGGTGGGTCCAAATATCAGCTGAATCCAAACCTGCTGGGAAGACCAACAGCTCCAGATTAACACATAATCCTTATAACCTTTTATCCACATGACAGTGTACCAGACATCTGTGCTTTACGAGACTCTTCTCAAGGGAAGATGCCTACTTCAGCCTTCAAGCACCACAACATTCCTGCTTTATGTTGTCCCTTAAGAAAAGCTTTTCATAGCAGCAATGAAAGTTTTTTGCACTGAACATCTGGAACCAAAGTCAAAGCACAACCTGGCAGTTTTCCTGGCTGAACAGGAATGCCATTCAAGCTGAGATTCACAGGGAAAAAGTCTGTATTGACAAAGGTTTGAGACAGTGGTTCAAGAGTTGAAGGGAGTCAGAATTGCAATCTGCAGGATTTTCAAGAGGAATATTTTGAACATTATCTTTCTGCTACAGCTGACATCCAAAAATTATTTCCCTTACTTCTCTCATTTAAGTATTTTTTCCCATGACACTTATCAAAGTCATCACCTTCTCAGCAGGAATGGTCAGGACTTATCAGGTCTCCCAAGATGCTGAGATTAGCTAGCTCTTTTCTCCATGTGGGAACTCTCAGATCCCACAACATAGTGAGGCAAAGATTTGGACCGGGGATTCAAGTTTTCATGCGGGAATTTCTGGTTGTATAGCAGATCTAGTTCCAGACACAGCCACTGTGAACCATGTGACAGGATATGAATCCTCTTCTGTATATTCTTTCTGTGTGATCTCCCTCCGTTTCTCCACATCCCCCTTTTCTCTACAGTATTGCAGCACTTCATTGATTCAACACAATCAACAAGAGAGCAGGAAGGCAGAGGCAGCTCTCAGATTGGAACAGCTGGTTTTCTTGATGGCATCATGTCCCAAAGAGAGGTAAGGAATCACAGGAAAAGAGACTGCTTATTCTCAACAGCAAACAACTCCAGACTGGAGAAGAAAGTACAACCCTGCTGACTGAGAAAAAGGCAGCAGTGGGATTTAGAATATATTTCGCACTCTTTGATGGATCATGCTTGAAGATTTTGTGGGGAAGCAGAGCTCAGAGAAAACCACGCTTCAAAGCCTACCACTGTACTCAAGGGGCCTATGAAAACTTTATAAATATGACCCCCTGCTGTCCTGTCCAAAGCCCACCTGCAGACCTGCTGACACAACCAATTCCTCAATGGCCATGCTCCCCAGCTACCACACCTCCTTTCCATCAGGCTTTGGAATAAGCTTCTGCCAGCCCTGTCAAAGTGGGCTTAATAACAGATGGACAAGGATGACCAGTGGGGACTGAAAAAAACCCAGCCAGAAGTCATTGACCATTCACACCTCTGAACAAGGTGTGACAGCACAGCCACACCACAACCAACAACCACACCAAGCACCCATCCCCGAGCTGGCAGACCTCAGGCTGTTTCATTCACACACAGCTGTCTGTCACATGAGTCCTTGGACATAGCACCACAACACTGCAAAGTTTCCTCCTCCCTCATC